CAAAAAAAAAAAACAAAAAAAATAAAGCCATGAAAGATTTTTGTGTATATCGAAACTATGAAAAAACTGGAAAAGGTTCAGACAGATAAAACCACCGAGTTTATCTGTGTGTGTTAGTTTTTCTGAGAGGGTTAGAAAAATAGAAAAAGAGGGAGAGATTGGTAAAAAAAAAAAAAAAAGGAAAAAGAAAGTTTTTCACATTTTCCCTTCGCAGAAAGCAGAACGCATAAAGAACTTTCCGGAAGCCATAAAACATTCAGAAGGCATAACTCTCTTACCGGTTCGGTGAAAAAAAAAAAAAGGGAAATTTCTTCTCCTTTTTTCTTCTTATTTCTTTTTTTTTCTTTCCCTCCCCAAAATTTTTAGAAACTGGAATAAAAAAAAAAAAAAAAAAAAAAAAAAACGTCTGACTCGTGACTCACATAACTCGATATTAAATATATAATGTTGTATACGTATAAAACAAACACGACAAACGGTAGAATTTAACAACAAACGCAACCACAAACATTCATTCATTCATTCATTCATTTACAAAACAATCTTTTAAATAAGAAAAAAAAAGGAAGAAAAATGTATCATCGCATTACGAATTCAAATTTATGCACGTTAATAAAAATAAAAAAAAATAATAATAATAATATTGATGATAATGATGACGACGATGACGATGACGATGATGATGATAATAATAATAAATGAAAATGTATATTCAACGGGATTGAATCCATTCAATTTTCATTCAAACACATTTTAAATTGATTTTGATTTTCCATTTTAAAATCCCAACGCGAGTGGTTTTGAAGTGCCAATTTTAATGTTGAAGAATCCATTTTGAAAATCTATTAAATTTTTTTTTTTCCTTTTTTCCTTTTTTTCCTTTCTTTTTTTTCCTTTTTTTCCTTTCTTTTTTTCCTTTTTTTTACGTATTTTTTATTTTATTTTATTTTACGTGTTCCGGTAAAAAAAAAATAAAATGAAATAAAATAAAATAGATTTTAATATGTAAAAATTCAATAATAATACGCCCGAGTTTTCCTTTCTTGTTTGGATAAATGCCGGTTGTTTGTTTGTTTTGTTTGTTGTTTTTTTTTTTTTGGGGAGAGGGGTTTACATTTTAAAGGTGTTTTAGTGGTTTTTCTTCCTTTTTCCTCCCCTTCCCTCAGTTTTGGAGAACGATAACGGAATTTTTAATAAAAACTAATTTAAAAACCGCGAATATTATTATTATTATTATTACGTATTTGTTATGACGTCACTTAATGAAAAAAAAAGTTTTATTTAACTTTTTTTTTAATGTACTCGTTATAAGAAGAAGAAGAAAAGTAATTAGTTCATTAATTACAAAAAAGAAGAAGAAGAGGAAAATTCGTTTTTCGGTTTTTTTTTTTTTTTTTTTTTAGCAGACGACGTAAGATCGTTAAAAAAAAATCTATAAGTAAAAATCTTCTTTTGAATTTGAATTAGTTAAATATTAGTATTATTATTATTATTTTCTTAAAGAAAAAAAGTTTTCTTTTTCTCACACAATTATAAGTTTACACCGTCCGTAACATTTAACAAAATTCATCTTAATTAACTCGTTATAAGAATTTTCTATAAGGTTCTTCATATTTCACTTCACGTCATTCATTTTTAACCGTCTATCATTCTTCTCTCTCTCTCTCTCTTTCTCTCTTCCTCTCTCCCTCCCTCTCTTTCTTTCTTTTGGAAAAATGATTTATTACTATTTATTTATTAATTTTGATTTTTTTTTTCTTTTAGAAGAAGATTTAGAAGAATTTATTGAAAAAGTAATAATTGCCAACGGTCGAGGTGTTTCCATTATAAAAAACGTCACCGGAAATACAAACTGGAGTTTTGGACAATCATTATTCTTTTCGAGTACGATTGTCACGACAATCGGTGAGTGTTTTTGCACATGACAAATATTTTAATTATTATTATTATTATAAGTAAGTCGGTTGTTTCCCCCCTCCCCCTTCCCTAAGGGTTTTAGTTTTGTTTGTCATCCAAAAAACCAAAAAATCAAGAGGGGAGTGTATGCGTTTGTTCGAATCTGGAAAATTTTAGATTTGTGGAGACGTGAAGGAAGGAAGGTGCGTGAGGGAGGTAGGGAGGGAGGGAGAGGGTAAAATAAAAAAATAAAGATGTATAGAAATCGTCAGGGAAGAAACGACAGGGAGAAAAATAATAATGATAATGTTAGGAGGCGTAATATCCGGCGCGTTATCATGATGCAATACCCGTGTTTGGTTTTCCCACAGCCAGAAAAACATTCCCGGATTTCAATTCCCGAGTGATTTTCAATGTAACCCATTATCCGTTCGTGTACGGCTAATTTCTGATGAAAAAGGGATCAATAAAATCCCTACGAAAGATGGGATCGATGGGATCATTTATAAAAAAAAAAAAAAAATTACCTTTTTTTGTAACTTTTTTATCAGGTTGCAGTGATAACAAAAAAAAAAAAAATTAATAATAGGTGTTTTTTTCTTGGGGGTAGGGGGGATGTTTTATCATCACTCCTTCACTTCCCTTCCCTCCCCCTCCCCTCATTCCACCCAAATCGGTTTCTCGTTTTTAATAAAAAGTTTCTCATTAATAACAACCGCAACAACGGGAAAAGTTTTATTTACGTTTAATTTTAACCTAATAAAAAATACAAAAGAGTAATAATAATAATAATAATAATAATAATAATAACACGTAACGTTTTTTTAAAAATATTATCTAACTAAACTAAAGGTTATTTAATAATAAATAATTAATAAGTTTAACTAATTTTAGTTTTTTTTTTTTGTTTAACTTAACTAATTTTACTCTTTTATATATATCGAAAAAAAGAGAAACTTTTTAAACCTTTCGTCTATCTCTCTTTCTCTCTCTCCCCCCCCACTCACTCACTCACTCGCACAGTTTTTATCCCGATGGAACTTTTAAAATTCATACAAGTAAATAAAAAGGTAAAAAAAAAAAAAAAAAAAAAAACCACGCGCGCGAAAGAGAGAGAGAAAGGGGGGGGGAGAGAGAGAGAGAGAGGGAAAATTTAAAACGTAGCACAGCAGACGATATATTTATATATGAAGAAAAACACGTAAAACGTGTTATTAATATTTAATAATATTTTATCAGGTTACGGTCAGGTGGCTCCACTATCGAAATTGGGAAAATTTTTTTGCATCGCATATGGAATGTTAGGGATCCCGTTGAATCTCATGTTTTTGTCGGCGTCGGTTCAAAGGTTAATGATACCATCGAATAATTTATTAAATTTATTAAATAATAATTTAAATCATTTATTTAAACCCCTCGTGATAAAAATAATACATTTTATCATCGTTTCGTTATCATTCGTAACATTTTTTGTTTTTATACCCGGAGGGATTTTTAATTATTTAGAATCCGATTGGGATTTTATGGATTCAATTTATTATTGTTTCATATCGTTGACGACGATCGGTTTGGGGGATTACGTACCTGGCGATTCATTAAATCAACCTCATAGAGATATTTATAAAATTATAACGACAGGTAAAGGTTTCTCAGTTATGAAAAATAATAATTACCGTTAGAAAGTAGTAAAAGAAGGCGGTGGAGGAAAAATTTTTGTTTTTTTTGCATTTTCTTTTTCCAGGTTATCTTTTTACAGGTTTGATTTTTTTAGTTTTTACACTTTCCGTTTTTTACGAAATCCCACAATTAAATTTAGGAAATTTTTTTTTAATGGAATCCGATGAAATGATGCCGACGACGAGGAGAAAACCGGAAGAAAATTTTGATAAATCACGATGGGAAAAACACGATCCTTATGAATCATCTATTTCCGGTTTAAAATACACTCAAAATTAAAAAAGAATTAGAAAAGGATCGTCAACGACAAGTCTAAAATTTCACGTCGAATAATAATAATAATAAAAGAAAAATTTTGTAATTTTTTTTTTCTTCTCGTTTCTTTTCTTTTTTTACGGGGGGTGGGAACGGGGAAGGGGAGGGGGAAACGTCAAATTTTTTTTCCCTAAATGTTATTTTCCTTATTCCTCTCCTGTTTTTTTTTTGCTTTTTTCTCTCTTTCCAAAATACAAAACTCTGATTTTAACTTAAAATTGACTTTGACTTTCTTGTCAATGTCAATCTTTTTTTACTTCTTCTTCTTTTTTTTCCCACCCCCTCCTCTCCCCTCCCCTTCCGACTCCTCTTCCAAAAAAAAAAAGAAAATTTTAAGGAAAATTTCTAAAATTTTTCCGTCCCGTTTTATATTAAAAAAAAGTAAAAAAAAATAAAAGGAAAAGAATTATTTGTTAAAATACTTTTTTTTTCTCTCTGTCTCTCTTTCTCTCTTTCCCACCCCCTTCTCCTTCTCCTCCTCGCATTCACCCCCCCGGAAAAGGAAGCCGTGTAAAATAATTTTCTTTTTAACGAAAAGGTTTTTAACGAAAATTTCATCTTACCTTTTTTTTTTTTTTTATTTTTATCCCGTTTCTGTCTTCCTTATCCTCCTCCTCCTTTTTTTTTACTCCCTTTCATTTTTTCTCATTCCAATTTATTCCATTACCACTTTTTTTTTTTTTTAAACGATATCGGATCCAGAATATTATTTAAATCGTGAGAGAAAACAAGGAGGAAAAGGAAAAAAAAGGAAAAAGATAAAAAGAAAATACGCGAACGTGGAAGAAGAAGATGATAAAAAAAAGGAAAATTAAAAACGTGGCAATTTAATATTTTTCCTCAAAACAATTTGAAAAAAAAATTTTAATTTTTCTTATTTTTTTTTTATTAAAATATTATTATTATTATTGAGGAAAAAAAATGCCATCGACGAATTTATCATCATCATCATCATCGTCGTCGTCGTCATTTTTTTATTTATTTATAAATAATTTTGTTTTTACCATAAAAGGTAATAATTATATAATTTTTTTTTAATAATTTAAGAAAAAATTTTCCGAATGAAAAAATACCGAGGAAAAAAATTTAATAAAATTCTTATTATTATTATTATTATTTTTCGAATTTTTTTCTCATCAGTACCACCACCATCACCTCCTCCACCATTTTCATCACCTTCATCATCACATCCACCACCACCACCACCATCTTCACCATCTTCACCGTCTTCATCACCTTCACCATCACCACCACCACCACCAGCACTACCTTCACCATCTTCACCATCACCACCATCGTCATCTGCTCCATCTTCATCACCTTCACCATCTTCATAACCTTCAACATTACCA